GAGCACATGCACCCTATAGCAAAAATCTCTCTAAAAAAAAAAAAAAAATATAAAAAGAAAGTGATTTCTTCTTAGAAAATTATTCCAGGTGCTTTGCCAATAACTAAAGTTCTTGGGTTCTGAAATCTCAATGTTTTAAATCCTAAAATAAAATGCAATCTTCATGAAATAATATATGTAGTATTTTTTAAATGAATTATTATTTTAAAATATATATTTTTTTATTAATTTACTTTGCTACAGGGTACTTGAGCTCACCAGAGAGAGACAGAGACAGAGAAATAGCCGTGGGTAAAGTGAGAAAGCAAACTATCAGATCTAGGATTCAAACTGTGGTCAGCCTCATGGGAGTCCAGTGCCTTAAACATCATGCCACCTGTAGACCCCAATACAAGTGGTAGTATTATAGGATTGTTATTTATCTTACCCTTTAGGATAAATACCCTTACTAACATAAAAGAAGCTGAAAACAAGTTAAGGCCTAGTTAACCCAATGGCCTAATGAGCCAGATCTCACATAGAGGATCACATGGCTCAAGTCCCAGCTCTGGTGGCTTGAAAAGCACACTGGGTGTGTATGCATGCATGTCCCAAATCCCAACAAGATGGAGAATTGGAGAAGGGATTGTAACCTTGCCCCACCGGGGTGTGTTTTCTCCTTTTCCTTCTCTCTCTCTCTGTCTCTGTGTCAAATACACACATCGTCTGGTAATTAAAAAAAGTTTACAAGTTAAATACAGTAAGATCTCTCTCCGAAGTTGGCAAGTACTACATTGCCCACATGAACCATGAGACGGAAGCAAGGAAGGAAAAGTGGAAAAGAAGAAAGTAGGTAGGCAGGTACGGCTGTTCCCTAAAGAATTCCAATTAATAAAAGTAAAAGAATTGGATGGGTCCAGATGCACTGACAAGGCAGTAACACAAAGGACCTGAAAGGCTGAAAGCTGTATGGCAAATTATAGGTTTGATTCCTGCATGTGTCCAGGAACCTGAGGAGCTGGAGGTTGGGCAAAGGGGTTAAGAGAATTGAAGTGGGGGGACAAGCAGTTAGCGTAATGGCTATGACGCTGGACTCCCATGTATCCGACCGTGGTTCGTGTCCCAGACCCAGTGGCTTACAACTCATGCTGGGTGCATGTACATGCGTGCCCAAAATCCTGAGAGGAGAATGGAGGAGAAGGCATTGTGGTGTGGCCATCCCCCCTTGGGGGTGATTTCTCACGTTCTGCCTCTCTCTCTCTCTGGCAAGTGCATGCACCCTATACCAAAAACCTCTCCAAAAAAAAAAAAAAAAAAAGGGGGGGAGATTGGGGGGGGGAGAAAAAAAAAAAAAAAAGAGAGAGAGAGAATTGAGGTGTGATGAAACCTGTAGAAGGGGTTTTTTATGTTCCCCTCCCTCTCTCTCACATGTGCATACAAGATACAAGCACTGTCTATAATTTTTTTTTGAAGTTAAAGAAATGAAAAAAAATGGACAATTACCATTAGAAAAACATCAAGTGATTACTGATTACCAGCAAGATCCTTGAATGGATACTAAAATCAGTGAGTGAAAATTCAAGGAGAATGGACTATCTGCATAGTCTCAGACTATCCTTTCCAAAATCTTGAAGTACCAAGGGGGAAAAAAGTAATTTTACAATGAAGAAATGTACCAGAAACTACCTTAAAAAATGATTATGGGGGCCAGCAGGTGGCATGGTGGTTGGGGCACTGGATTCCCACATGGTTGACCATGGTTCAAGTTCCAGACCGAGCAGCTTGTTTTCTCATTTTCCTTCTATCTATCTCTGGTGAGCATGTGTGTCCTATAGCAAATTAAATAATAATAAATAAAATTAAATAAATAATTTTTTAAAAATGATTATGGTTAATGTCACCAATAATAAGACATAACAAGATCAAGTAACCCCTGATATGACACACTAAGAATACAGTATCTCTTCTTGCAAAAAATGCACAACCTCAATCTAATCGTATGACAATATCCAATCTAATTATACGACAACATCATGAAACCCAAATCAAGAGTCATTATACAAGGGGTCTTTAATTTAAAGTTCATGAAAAACGTGTACTTTGAAAAAACCATGCAAGAATTTAAAAATTTCTTGTATCAAAATAAACTCGTACTTTAATTCCATTTTTCACAAACTTTTTGAAGTCTCCTAGTACAAAGCAACTAACAGTCTTCAAAATTGTCAAATGTAATGTGGGATCCCAGACTGGATCATAGAACAGAAAAACAGTATTAGTGGAAAACCGATGAAATCCGAATAAGGTTTATAGCACAGTTAAGAATCTTATTCCAGTGCCAATTTTTTAGCTTTGATAAGTATGCTATGATTAGGATGATGACATCATGGGAAGCTGGGTAAAGAGTATCCAGTTACTTTTCTTCACTAGTTCTGCAACTTTTCTCCAAATCTGAAATTAATTCAAAATAAAAAGGAGACCCACAAAAAAAGATTAGGGCCAGCTGGTAGCAATGGTGGTTAAGAAGCTGGGTCCCACATGGCCAACTTCATGGTTCAAGTTCTAGACCCAGGGGCTTGAGAAACACAGCAGACGTGTGTGTGCATGTGTGTGTGTGTGTGTGTGTGTGTGCACACGCATGGTCAGGATTCCCAAGAAGAGAACAGAGAAGGGACTGTGGCATAGTCATACCCCTTGGGGGGTAACTATTTTTATATCACATGCCTCGCCCCCTCATAAGTGCCACAACTTATAGCAAAAACTAAAATAAAAAAATTATATACCTAATGAATATTACTTAAGAAACTTGGATAATATCCATTGTACAGTTCTCTGGGAATTAGACACAACTTTTGTGATTAAACAAGAAAATAGTAAAGCACAATGGTTATTGGAATTTGGCATCAAACTGACCTAGATTCCAATACCAGTTCTGCCATTTGCTACCTGTGTCCTTGAGTAAATTATGTAACCCCTCCATGCCTCATTTCATTCCTTTGTACACAATTCAGGTAAAAGTTTAGTTTAGCTTATAGGGATCTTGGGACGGGAGCTAGGATAAAAGCAAATAATGAATGTAAAGCATTTACTTCAGCATCTAATACAGAGAAAAATTTAAGGTATAATAAATGATGAAGGGAAGTCACTATTACTGAACTTACTAAATTTAGTAAGCATAAATACTGCACAGTATAATACTGTAAAGTATAAGAATTTCCATTCATAATGACTGCAAGTTATTAGGAAATGGTGAAACTAAGTTTGGAATATTTACTATAAAACAGAGGCTGGCCAACATATGCACAAAATATTTTCATCTAAAGTAGAAATACGTGAGTGTTTTAAAAAACAACTCTACTATGGGGGAATCTGTTTAAAATTATTAGATTTTGGAAATAAGAGTCATCAGAGTTATTAAAATAAGCAAAGGTCTTGGACAATAAGATAGATACACATTAAGAATCACTACTCTAGGGACCAGCAGTTGGTGTAATGGCTATGTCATTGAACTCCCATGTAGTTGACTATGGTTCGAGTCCTGGACTGGGTGGCTTAAACTCACGCCAGGTGCAAGTGTGTGCGTACCCAAGATCCTGAGAGGAGAATGGAGGAGGAGGGATTATGGCATGGCTATCACCCTGGGGGTGATTTCTCACTCTCTGTCTCTCTCTGTCTTTCTGGTGAGCGCACGTTCCCCTATAGCAAACCCCCCCCCCAAAGAAAAAAAAAATCACTACTCTAGGGGCCAGCAGATGATGTAGCAGTCACGACACATGGCTGACCTCAGTTCAAGTCCTGGACCTGGTGGTTTGAAACTCATGCCAGGCACATGTGTGTGCATTCCCAAGATCCCAGGAAGAGAATGAAGGAATGATAATTCCGTGGGTGGGCCCCCCCCCCCCCCCCCCCGCAGGGTGATTTCTCACTTTCCCTCTCACTTTCTTTATCTCTCTCTCTCTTTGGTGAGAGCACATTCCCTAAGGCAAAAACCTCTACCAAAAAAAAAAAAAAAAAAAAAAATCACTACTCTAGATAATAAAAATCAATTGCATGTTAACATATTTCTAAGAGATTTACTTTCTCTTATTTTCTTTTGCATTAATACCAGTATATTAAAAATTATTCCAATACAAATAGAAATTTCCACTGACAGTGGTTTTCTACAATTTAATATTAACACAATTATATCAGATATGGTCTCTTTTTAATTCAGTGCTTCCTAAATGTCTTCTAAATTATAGAACCAAAACCATTAAATGAAAAGACAATTCTATAATATAACATTAGTATTTATTGAATATAGTTCAATAAAGCACAGTTTTGAAGCTTCTAGGTCATTTGCAGTTAATATTCGGATTTAACATAACAAAAATGCAAACATAGTCAAGACTTCAAACTGTAATGACCTGACTACAAACAAATCAGTGATATGAGGTCACAATTAAACTTATAAATCAGTTATAAAAAACAATTTTCCTTATATTTCTATTATACTTGGAAATATCTGTTTGTTTGTTTTGCTAGCAGGTGCATGAAGTTGACAGAGAAAGAGACAGAGAGGGAGAGAAGAAAGTACTCCCTTGAGAAATGGTCCTGCCACAATCCCTTCTCCTCCTCTTCTCCTCCTGTTGAGACTGGCACACATGCACATGTACCCAGTAAGCTTCTCAAGCCATTGAGTCTGGAACTCAAACCACATGGTCAGACATGTGGGATCCAGCTGCCATAACCACCAGACCATGAAACTAGTGCATACTTACAAAGATTCTAAAGCCAGCATCATATCTCTAATTGCAACTTCCAGGCAGTGATTCAAAACCCTATAGGGGAAGACGCTAGCAGGTGGCGTGGTGGTTAAGGAACATGGCCAACTGCACTTTGAATTTGGACCTACAGCTTGTTTTCTGACTTTCCTTGTCTGTCTCTGGTCAAATTAAAAAAATAACAATAGTAAATAAAATTAAATAAATAATTCTTAAAAATAAAAAGTTATATGGGTAAAACAATGAAAACCACACACTTACCAACACTTTGGGGTCGACTTAACCTTACAGGATTAATTTCAACTTTTTGAATATGGGGTGGGTATTCTTTCCTAGAAAAGGAAATTTATATAGTTTTACTCCAAAGAAAATGAAGTTTTCACAAGGAAAAGGATAAGGACATACTTACAAAAAGTTTATTAAAAGCAAATGAAAGTTTCTTTGCCATATAAAAAGTCAGACTATAATAAAACTGTATTACACAAATATATTAAAGCTTAATATATTACGCAATCCTCAGAAGCAGTGCTCCTATTTTACTTAAATTGTCAACATAGCACAGTATCTGCACACAATAGGCAGTCTTTGGACAAATAATAAATAAATAAATCCAAATTACATGTCCCTTTCAAAGTAGTTACTTAGGAAACTGAATGAAGAATTACCCAGCTTAATAATAATTTGTCCAATTTTGCTGTACATATTTTGTTCTTGTTTAAAAACAATTCAACAGGGACCAGCAGATAGCATAATGGTTACATTGCTGAACTCCCAAGTAGCTGATGGTGGTTCAAGTTCCGGACCCAGCTGCTTAAAACTCAAGCCAGTCCATGCATGCCCAAGACCCTGACAGAAGGGATTAGGAGTGGCCATGCCCTCTGGGCTGGGGGGTAGGGGGGAGAGGGTGTCCTCACTTTCTGTCTGTTTCTCTCCAGAGAGTACATGGGCCCTACAGTGAAAATCTCTAAAGAAAAAATAAAGTTAAAAAAAAAAAATCAGTAAATAAAGGAATAAATGTTAAGTAAGTTAGGGGTCTTGAGGTCAATTCCAAAATCAGTTTTTAAAAAACGCTATGTAAAACCCAACAATCACTGAATAAGTATTTAGTTTTATAATATAACTGCATCATGGCGGAGGACAAAAGCACACTTGTTTTAAAATATTACTTTGTCAGACTTCATATGCAGTTCAGCTAAAGGACTTTAAATATAGGAGACCAGCAGATGTCATAATGGTTATGTCACTGGCCTCTCACATGGTCAACGGCAGTTCAAGCCTAGACCCAGCAGCTTGAGTCCTGGACCCGGCAGCTTAAAACTCACGTCGGGTGCATGAGCATGTACGTCCAAAATGCTAAGAGAATGAAGGAGAAGGGATTGTAGTATGGTCATCCTCTTGGGAGTTGATTTCTCACTTTCTGTCTCTCTGGCAAGGGCATGTGCCCTACAGTGAAATAATCTTTTTTTTTTAATTTTAAAAAAAGATCTCTAGTAAATACTGTATCTATTTAAGTCTGAATATATATCAGTTTTGGGAAGAAGCAAAAATCCTATGGCTAATGGTGAGTTAAAAGCATTTCATAAGGAGAATCAGAAAAGTGCAATATATCAAGGAGCTATGATAGCTAGATCCTTTCCCACCCTAAGTTAACACTTGTAAAAATATCCCTATTTTATTTAACCACAGAAGACAAAAAAAAGAGGCTATTTTGTTTATTTATAAATCTATTCACACTAGTAATCACTCCTTCTATTCATTAGTAATGTTTAGTTAAATAATTTAAACCCCAAAGGCATTTTCTTACAAGGATTTCATATTTTGCATCCTTTATGAGAGGTAGATAGAGATAAGTATTTGTCTCCCATGCTACAATCCTCCTCTACCAGCCTCCTAATCAATTTGGATTACAGGTGTATCTACTGTCTGTGTTTTGTGTTTCAGGTTGGCCAAGGAACAGAAACCAGGCCTCTCATGTTCTGTCTCCCAAGCAGTGGCACTATCTGTATGCCACCATGGCTAGGCCAGGATTTCATATTCCTACATTGAAAAAGTCAAAGCACTTAAATTGAAAACAAAACATGAAAATGAAAAGAAAATGAAGGCAAATTAAGTAGTGTACTTGTAATAGCAGTTAGCAAATAGTGAGCACTCTGTACCAGCTGCTGTTTCCTAGTGCTTTGTATCTATTAATACTAAAGCCTTTAATCCTCACAATAACCCTATAAAGTACATGTTTTATTAGCACTTTGTTGATGAGGATACTGAAGCACAATAAAGTTAACTAACTTGCCTATCAATTATGAAATGCCAGAATCTGAATCCTAGCAAGCTGCATAAGATATTGATTAGCAGAACATCTATCAACTGTAAAAATACATCCTGGCATAACTTTAAAATCTGGGAAGAGGGGGGCTGGCAGTGGCATGGTGGTTAAGGAGCTAGGCTCTCAAATGGCCAACCGCAATTCAAGTCTCAGACTTGCAAAAATCAAAGCACTTAAATTGAAAACAAAATACGAAAATGAAAAGAAAATGAAGAATGAAGTTTCTTTTAAAGATCTCGGAACAACAACAACAAAGAGCATACTAGTGGAATAACTGGTAAATTCCAAAAGCAATGCTGAGTTTAGTTAGCAATGGTGAATCAGTGTTAGTTTCTTTTATGACCCAAGTATGATGGTAATGTAAGATGTTAATATTAAGGTGAGAGGTATAAGAGAATTCTAAATTGGCCTGTTCTCTCACTTTTTTTTCTCTCTCTCTCATTCCTTCTCTCATCAAATTAAAAAAAAAATCAACAACAAATAAAATAAATTAATTAAAAATCTGAGGGGATATAAATAGTAAAGATGACACCCTACCTTAGACACAGCAGCAACAGTGCTATTAAGAAGGTCCTAACTACACTGTATTAGGCTTAAAAATAAAATGTATGATTCTATGTTTCACACACTTGTACAATAAACAGAATACAGCCATATCTTAAATTGAATAGCTGATATTTTTAAGCCCCTGATTTTTCTAACTGTACACTTTGCAGAAATAAAAATACCAACTTAAAAATGTAACACAGAAGCAATGATCTGAAGCAATAATGATATGATGATAGTACTATGATAAACTTCCCAGTAATGAGTGTATCACATATTGTTTTTACATATTGGACAATGAAAACAACAGTCATTTAAAAATACTGGAGACTAACAAGAAAAATAATTATTTGACTAATTACAGAGTGGCCACAAAATCTGGAAATAGAAATTTTTTTTTCCAGTTTCAACCTGCTTGATACTTATTCTGGACTAGGCTAACAGCACAGGCTTATTTGGTAAAAATAACTGATATAAAAGGGTTAGCAGGTGGAGTGATGGTTAAGGTGCTTGAGAAACACACTGGGTATGTGTGTCACCTAAAATCAAAAGAGGAGAATGAAAGAGATTACAGCATGGCCATCCCCTTTTGAGGGTGATTTCTCATCCACCCCAGAACTCCATGTCGCTCACTGGCGAGCACACACACCATATGGCAAAACAATCTTATAAATAAATAAATAAATGATACAATAATCTGAGACAGTTAATCATATTGGCATATGTAAATATTGACGAAAATGTTGTATTCATGCACTATTTTTGTGATTTGACACACTACATTCCTAATGAGAAAACACAATGGTAACATCTACAATTATATCATGTATCGTAATATAATTAATAAAGTATGTCTACCTGCCTATATTTCCAGACTTTATGGCCATCCTACTTTCAATGTCTGCTATGTTTTCGTATTTAATAAAACACAATGAATAAATGCCAAAATAAAGGCATATCTAATTTAATAAAAGGTTATAAAAATTTCAAAATAAGAGTACAATTTGTCTGTTTAAAGAAATAAAGAAATTTTCCAGGCATAAATTTTATTTTCTTAAATATGTAGTTCTATTACAAAACTTTTGCTAGATAATCTAAAATGAAAATTTGTTAGTTTCTGGATTCAAGCGTTCCATTACTCTCGCAAATTTCAAACTCCAAACTGGTATGAAACTTAGGATTTAATTTCTCAGTGGATACTTTTCCCCCAAAAGCAAAGTCAGAAAAGATTCTTCATCATCTGTCTTCCTGTGTATGTAGGTAGATTTTTTTGCTCCTGAGAATATGTGTTTTGTGTAGTAGTTTTAGAAACCCCATTTTGGAGCACCAGCAGATGGCATAATGTTGTCGACGGCACTTCAAGTCCTGGACCTGGTGACTTAAAATTCATTATGGGCTTCTGTGCATGTGTGCCCAAAGTCCTAAAAGGAGAATGGAGGAGAAGGGATTGTAGTGTGGCCATCTCCAGGTGTGTGTGTGTGTGTGTGTGTGTGTATGATTCTCACTCTTTACCTCTCCAGTGAGCGCACTCACCCTATAGCAAAAACTCTCTTAAAAAAAGAAAGTAAAATTTTATAAAGATTTTACAAACTGCATAAAATAGTCTTTATTACTCTTAGAGAGAGACTGTTTAAATAACATAAAAATGTTTTGTTATTACAGTTTACACAGGCTTCAGTTACAAGTCTTTCTTGTTTTTTTGGGGGGAAACATAATCTAAAACATAATTTTAGATTTGTTAAAAGGTATAAAGACAAGGGCCCAGCAGGTGGCATGCTAGTTAACGCACTGGATTCCCGCATGGCTGACTGCAGTTTGAGTCCTAGTCCTGATGGCTTGCTTTCTCACTTTCCCTTTCTCTCTCTCTCTCTCTTTCTGTCTTTGTCGAATTAAAAAAGGATAACAAATGAAATTAAATAAATTGATAATTCTTAACTTTAAAAAAGTTATAAAGACAATTTAGAATTCTCTTATACCTCTCACCTTAATATTAACATCTTACATTGCCATCATACTTGGGTCAAAAAAGAAACTAACACTGGTTCACTACTGCTAACTAAACTCAACATTTCTTTTGGAATTTACCAGCTATTCCACTAGTATGCTCTTTGTTGTTGTTGTTCCGGGATCCAATTCAGGACTTCTTAATCTCCTCTGTATTTTTCAGTCTTTTGTTTTCCATGACCTTGACACCTTGGAAGAGAACTTGTCAGGTATAGACTGTATCCCAAATGTAGTTCCATCTGACATTTTTCATTAGATTGTAGGTGTGGTGAAAGAATATCACAGAAGTGGAGTACCCTTCTTACCACATCAAATCAAAGGGTAGACAATCTCAATATGACATTATTGGTGATGTTAACCTTGATCTCTTGCCTAAGTGTTAACCAGTTTTTTGCACTCTATCTAAAGTTATTATTTTTCTCT